GTTTCCGCCTTGCCCGAAGTACAGCAGACCCCCTTGCCCATTTCGAGACATATATTACATCTGCATTTGCACTCCATGAATCCGTATTAGCCATATCCCTTAACTTAGAAAAAACATATGATACCACATGGCAGTACCATACTCTCTAACAATTGTCCTCCCTAGGTATACACAGAAACATGAGCGTTTTCATAAAGTCTTTCTTCGCCAAACGTACTTTCCAGGTCAAAATTGCCCCTTTCACGTCATCCTTTCCTCATTTCGAAGGCGTCCCACAAGGCAGTGTGCTAAGCATTCCTTCTTGCTGTAAATGACAGTCTCAGATTTACCGCCAGGAGCCCGGGCATCACTATATTTTGATGTAACCACCTACACCTCTGGCACATCCATTCCAAATCTCCGCCAGTTCCTTAAGTCTGCAATACCATCAGTATCTTCCTGGGCCACTTACCTTGACTTTCGTTTTTCTACCTCCAAATCTTTGTCCATCCTTTTTTCTCGCACACATATAGGTCCCCAACCTCCACTCTTCTTATATGGTGCTCCACTCCAATACCGTTCCTCGAGCAAATTCCTTGGCGTTATTTTGACTCCAAGTTGTCCTGGCGAGACCATATTTCTTACATCAAAGAAAAAGCTTATCGCCGCCTCCGAATCTTACAAACTCTTTCCCACATATCCTGGGGCTCAGATCGCAAAACTCTTATCCATCTTCATGTTGCCTTAATCCTCTCCACGCTAGATTATGAATCCCAAATCTACTCTACCTCAGCCTCCCTTCTTGTTCACCTGGAAACAATCCACTACTGCAGTGGCGTCCTAGGCTCCTTCCACTCCTCTCCAGTTAAGTGCCTGTACATTAATAAGTCGGCGTCATATCCTCCTCTCCGATGCTATGCTCGATTCCACCAACTTTCCCTCACCAAACTATCCCAATGTCCCTGCTTCCTACCTTTGCTTCTCCACGTTTACCTACTTTCTCCGTATGCAAGAATACCCTCCTCTCCCATTCCCCCTTTCCCCACCTCCGACCTCTCCCGTTTTCTGTCCATTCCGTTTCTCCATGGCTTATACCTATCCCCCATATTTGCTCCTCTTTTCCCTGACTTACCAAAATCAGATATCCTCCCCTCTTGTCTTTCTCACCCATTTCCTTGACCATGTCTCCATTCATTCTTCTAGCATTCATGTTTACGCTGATGGCTCCAAATCCACCTCCGGAGCTAGTTTCGCGGTAACCTTCCCAGCTCGCACTTTCAAATACACCCTCCCTCCTGAATCATTTTTGCCTTAAAACACACTCACTCCCTTCGTCCTCTTTCACTATTTTTACTGACTCTTGTAACTCATAAACTCTCATAAATATGCACTCGACCAATCCCCTTGTCTGTAAGATGCCATGAATCTATCAGATTTTGCTGGGTCCAGCCATGTTGGAATCCCCGGCAATGAACACACTTCTCATGTATTCCAGCCACGGATTATTATCCCTACTTTAAGACCTTCCTGTATACCCAATGGCAATCTTTCTGGTCATATCTCCGCTCTAATGAATTATATACTGAAAAACTATCAATCTCCTCTTGGTAAGCTCCATTTCACCGGAACAGACGTTGGGAGACGGTTCTTGTACACTTATGTATTGGCCACACCCGTCTAACACACTCCTATCTGATGATTGAACTATGGGAGGTGAGTCAAAGAATTTACTCGCGACTTCATTAAGTTACTAAATTGCTCACACACTCACCCACCATGCGCATAGTATATCAAATGACATTATTTTTGTGATTTTATGATTCCTTTAAATATTGGGTCAACAGCCATAGTACTCCCAAAACCCTGTTGGAGCCTTATCATATATAAAAAAGATGTTCTCCATCAGAGAACATTTAAAAATCGTCCTGTACTTGGTTAATGGTCAGTGTGTATAACATCTAGTTATTTTCATTTGATTTACTGCTTATACATTATAGAGATATTGGTTTTACTGTTATGGAAAATAATCGTCATTGTAATAACAGTCAGTGAGAATGATAATGTTGATCATCAGTGATTAGGATAAGGATAATGGAGATTAAAGATTGAGCTTGCTCTATAGAAATCTCAGAACAAAACATTAAATTACCCCCCCAAAAAAGCACACACACACACGCCGCATTTGACAAGTATCACACAGTAGACTGCTATGGAACCAAGTACACCTAGGTAGAGTGGAAAGAAAACTATTTGAATGGATGAAAGTCTTCCTACATGAAAGACAGATCAGCACGGAAATTAGGTTAAAAATGTATGGATATGAAGTAACTAGCGGAGTACTTCAAGGGATGGTCTTGACGTCGATTGCGCTATTATTTTCGTGGATTTAGGGTTAAACACAAGCCGAGGTAGCTATCTGAACGCGAAAATACAGAGAATGCCTCCAGAGGGACATCGAGAACTTATTTAGGCGAGTTGTATTTATAAAATGGAATTCAACACCAAGTAATGTTCAATCAGGTTCACGAAGAATAAAAATCAACCCCTATATGAATACAAGGTAGGATAATCAGTATTCAACCCAGCAGATAGGGAAAAGACCTTGGAATAATCTTAACCAGAAACTTGATCCCAGATGACCATATAGATGAAAAAGTCTATAAAATGCTAGGATTGATTGCAAACATGGGGGGGACATTTATATATGAGGCGTTGAGAGTGGGAGGAGCGAACCTAAACAAAAATGCGATTCTTTGCACCACCATTCCCTATGAGATCTGCTTTATCTTATGGCAAGAAATGGTGTAGTGAGTGCCTACACCGTAGCAGAAAACTAATGTTATAAATATAGTGCAAAGCTCGTGGTCAGGGCGAAACAAACTTTAAACCTATTTTTGACTATTAGAATCAAAGTTCCTGCTTTGTGTGCACCGCCCGCAGGTTCCGACAACGTCCGCAAAGAAAAGAAAAAAAACCACTGAATTTCATTATTCCCCCAAAAATTTGATGACTTCGAAAAACTGTTCATTTGTCATGCCTTTTAGAGAGAGTACTCTTACTAGTTAATATGAATGAAAAGTGACATGATTATCCACAAGAACTAAGATGATTTAATGACTGAAAGACTGTTATTCTCTCCTTTAAATGCTTGTAGAAATAAATAATGAATAACGAAAAATAGCCTCATCAGTTTAAATTTTACCCAGGCGCAAAGAGGAACTTTCATATTTGTGACGAGAAAGTGATCATTATAACTATCATAAGACCTGCTTGCTACATTTCCCTATTCTTCTCTAAATAGTTCGTTTTTTTTATATTTGGATCACTGGGAAGTTGTTATTTATTAGAGGGTAGTTGTTATTTTACCTGTTTTTTTTTTATGAAATCCCTTTTTTAGGTAGTTTTAATATCTATGGAAGTACAATTTTTTTTCCCACGATTCTCTTTTTTTCTTTCGATGATATGTTTAGCATCTGCTAATAGTTTCTTGTAATTTAGTGTATTCTCTGGACTAGGTCTTTTCCTCCATTTGTTGTAAGTCTTTTTTTTATCTTTTCTTTATCACTTCATTTCATTTCTCATTCCACCAAGGTTTGTTAAGCTTATTTTATAATTTTTATGATCAAAGTTGAAATGTTTTTCTCCAGTATTATTTATTAATTCTATAAGTAATGTTAACGGTTCTATATCTATATTTATTCAATTTAGCTCCGATATTCTATTTCAAATCAAATTGGTTTCCCAGTCCCTAGAACTCTTAAGTGTGTCTTCTATTATATATTTATGAAATTCAGATTTACTTATAGCGTTGGTTAGTTTTATGGGATTGTGGAAGTTTGAAGTTGATTTCCCTGACGCCTTAACTAGTATTACATTTTTTGTTTAAGCTTACGAGAATATTGGTATTCAAGTATTGTTCCTTACGGGTTGAAACTGCGCGAAGTTCTTTATTCTTTGTTCCAGTGTTGCTTGGAAGGTGGCTTTGTTTCGTTATCAGTGTTCATAGTCCATTTGTTAGGCTATTCCAGGACTCTCTCTTGGGTCCGGAATGAATTTAGCGTCCATCTATTCACAAAATATTTTCTTTAGTTGATGTTTTTTTTCCGGGATAGATGTTTCCTCAATGGCGATTCAACGAAAGTCGACCTTGGCTGTTCTCCCGTATTGAAATAACTGGATGAGAACTTAAACACGCACACATGCATCCCCCCAACACACACACACACACACACACACACACACACACACACACACACACACACACACACACACACACACACACACACACACACACACACACACACACACACACACACACACACACACACACACACACACACACACACACACACACACACACACACACATACACATACATACATTCAGCCGGTTTGTTAAAATTGTGCCAGGCCCGACCCAATGAATTTTCATGAGAACAGATGCAGCAGAAATAAAGGCATATCTGTCTATATATCCGATAGATATACATTTAACCATCTATTTACCGGGTTGATATACATGTCTAGCCAGATAAATATGCATTTATTTCTTTTTATGCATGTCAAGTATATTTTGGGGTCGGGCCTCGCGCAATTCTAACAAACCGGCCGATTCTCTCTGGTGTAAATGTAAAGTTCATTGGGTTTCTTTCTATGTTTTGAACTATCTGTCTTGGGGACGTTCTCTGGTACGTATAAATACATACATACATACATACATACATACATACATACATACATACATACATACACATGCAGCATGCAGCGTACCCCCCCACACACACACACACACAACATACACGCTCACACACCACTTTGAAAAATAGATTAGTCCCTCGTGAAATGAATCCACTTTCTGTCTTTGAATCAGGAGGGAAAACGGTCTAGCCGGGAAAGCAAAACAAAGTGGTGCGGACAAGGCCTTGTGAACAGATACTTACCTATCTACAAAAAACAAACAGACAACATTAGTCATTTCTTTTATGTCAGTGTACACCATAGAGGCTCAGGAGTTCAAGAAAGGTCAGGGAATCGCCGTCATTTGACCTGCTTGAACATGACGTCCGAGGACCCATATTACAACAGGCGCGTGAAAGGCACTGTGTTGCACCGGTACAGGAATTCTGTAACTTTCGGGATCCTCGCCGTGTCTGGGCTCATTGGACTCGCATTTCAGTAAGTTGGAGGCCTCCGGATTGATTTGGGTAATTTTTCGGAATGCCTTTGCTTAACCGAACGTGGCGATTTTGGTACAGATGGGTTCCTCTCACTTTATGCAGTCCAAATATTTGGAAATTATGCCACGGAAACACCCCCCACCACCCACAATCTTGGTTCTGATAGAGGGGAGGGTATGAAATGAAATTGGGGAGTAAAATATAAATCAAATACACAGAAACAGTCATTAGGTTTTAATTCTTGGGGCTGTGCCCCCAGCAACCCCTGCAAAAAGTCAGAGATTTTGCTTTAACTCCTTTACTTTTACATACTTAGCAAAAATTATTACGTCACGGGATTGCCAAAGCCCACTAGATAACAGGAGATATTTTTAAAAATATTGAGTATTTTTTAAAATTTTCGTCGCGACAGCCCCCCTAGGGTATCACCATGGCTCCTGAACCATTTGGCACTCTGGCAAAGACCATATAGCCTACTTTCTGGCAAGATGGAGCTTTAGACTTTGCCATTACAAAAAAACATTTTCATGTATATGTCCGCACTTACATGTAAAAAGAATACCAAACACTTAGAATTTAAGTGGGACATTATTTGTGAGAAAGTTAGGACTGGAGTAAATTAAACATGTCTCAATTATTTAAGAAGAGGTACCCCCCTCCCCCACACAGTTATGGAGTGGCCCTTCATGGACCCCTTGGGAGTTTTGTTTGTAAAATGGCATGGTGCCATTGAAGTGAATAGTGACCAATATGGCATATTATCTTTTTTAAAGTATTGCATTGTATCACCAATATTGTTATGATTTTGCTAAATACTAAGCAGTTGCCATGATATATAGAACGTTGATACTCTATTAGTTGCAAGCAATAATTCCTTGTCATATAACAATGAAAATCAAGAGCTAAGGCCTGTTAGAAAGATTCTGTAGTTTATGTGATATGTCCAAACCTAATTTTATGGCTCAGCTTTATGTTTTACAGAATATTCAGTAGATATTTTGAGTAAATTTTCCATCAGAGACATCTTTTCTGACATGAAATATTTTCTTTTCATAGCTCTTAATACCCTCCTGATTTGCAGAAATTGGGTACTAGTATTCAAGTAGCTGCTTCTCAAGATTGATGAGAGCTCCATTTGTTATGATAAAAAAAGATTGCTTACACACCTTTTTGATTTTTATGATGTATGGGTAACTTTTTTTTCTTCATCTTCTTCTTTATTTTGTTATTACTATTTTAATCCTACTAGATTGTGAAAATGATTATTTTTAGATATTATTACATTGTAATTAAGATACCAGTAGTTGATGTTTTCAAAGAAAAGCAACTTTAGAAGAATAACTTTGATATTATAATGGTGTATTGTAATGCCTAGATTTATACTATTGAAAAATAAAGTTTAGTATCATCATCATCATCATCATCATGGGGGCTGACGCCGACGGGGGCGCATAGCCGCATCCACCCTTCGCTTCCACCTACGAGGATCCCTCATGGCTAGACGCCAGGCAGGGACTCGGCCCATCTCTAGTTCTTCACGTTGGTCTTTTCAATTTGTAAATATTTCGCATTTCAGTAAGTTGGAGGCACGGAATGCCTTTGCTTAAAACCTCTCACTTTATGCAGTCCAAATATTTGGAAATTATTCTTGTTCTGATACAAATACACAAAACAGTCATTAGGTTTTAATTCCTGTGCCCCAGCAACCCCTGCAAAAAGTCATTGGGATTGCCAAAGCCCACTAGATTACAGGAGATATTTTTCAAATATTGAGTTTTTTTTAATTTTCGTCGCGACAGCCCCTAGGTATCACCATGGCTCCTGAACCATTTGGCAATCTGACAAAGACCATATAGCCTACTTTCTGGCAAGATGGAGCTTTAGACTCTGCCATTACAAAAAAACATTTTCATGTATATGTCCGTACTTACATGTAAAAAGAATACCAAACAGTTAGAATTTAAGTGGGACATTATTTGTGAGAAAGTTAGGACTGGAGTAAATTAAACGTCTCAATTATTTAAGAAGAGATACCCCCTCCCCCACACAGTTATGGAGTGGATGGACCCCTTGTTTTGTTTGTAAAATGCATTGCCATTGAAGTGAATAGTGACCAATATGGCATATTATCTGATCACTTTGAGAAGCAATTTCCTTCATATAACAATGAAAATCAAGAGCTAAGGCCTGTTAGAAAGATTCTGTAGTTTATGTAACATATCCAAACCTAATTTTAAGGGCTCAGCTTTATGTTTTACAGAATATTCAATAGATATTTTGAGTAAATTTTCCATCAGAGACATCTTTTCTGACATGAAATATTTTCTTTTCATAGCTCTTAATACCCTCCTGATTTGCAGAAATTGGGTACTAGTATTCAAGTAGCTGCTTCTCAAGATTGATGAGAGCTCCATTTGTTATGATAAAAAACGATTCTTGATTGATGCGATGATGATTGCTTACACACCTTTTTGATTTTTATGATGTATGGTAACTTTTTTTCTTCATCTTCTTTATTTTGTTATTACTGAGTATTTTAATCCTACTAGATTGTGAAAATGATTATTTTTAGATATTATTACATTGTAATTAAGATACCAGTAGTTGATGTTTTCAAAGAAAAGCAACTTTAGAAGAATAACTTTGATATTATAATGGTGTATTGTAATGCCTAGATTTATACTATTGAAAAATAAAGTTTAGTATGAGGTGGAATAATGTAGAATAATTGATTGATAATTTCTTTTATTCTCTACATTGCGCATGCCTTGCTTTTTCTGTTACACAGAATTACAAATATACTTAATTGAAAGTGTATTTGTTTGAGCAATTGTCTATGAAACTGATAATGGAGATGCTGTCAAGTGTAGTATCTGGTGTGAAAAGGGAAATCATAAATTTTTTTGATAGGTAACGATGATAAAAACGACTTTACTCCTTTCTTTTTTGCAGTTATCTGCCGCACTCACAGTCTCTTAATGAAAGGATCAAAGGAGGAGTCTTTAGGAACACCGAAGATGTAGAAGCACGCCGTATGTTGATGCAAGAATCGCTGACCAGGTCCTCTCATGCCTTGAGGAGCCATAAAGAGCATACGAAAGATATGTCTTGAAATGAGACGGCGAACAGATGAAAGATCCAGAGTGACATTAATCCACATATGAGAGACATTGAGATAGGACTTTTTTTCATTGTGGTATTTGTAAACCTTTGTAAGCCCTATCAACTATTGTTTATGTTAAAGATGGATAGTAGTAAAAGAAATTTTCTTGAGTTAATGTATAGATAAAATGGAGAGAAAGTGACAGATTTTATTTTCATGTACATAATACACATCAGAAAATGTATGTATTGTTACATATTTGTACATATACATGTAATTTTATAAAATATGTTACTCAAATAAAGTGAAAAATATAATCACAAGACCAAAGATGAGTGCTAGTAGAGGAGGCCGCTTGTCTCGAAAGAGAAAAAAAGAAGAAGATTGCCTGACATTTACCAGCATACATGATATCACTGACGACTTCCAGGAAGCAGCCACTGTGTTCAGGTAAACATGCCTTGGAGCTCAAACTCCTATGTGATCATTCTTAAGTTGCTGTATAATGCTATGATGCGTGTGCATGTGCACACATGTGTGCGTGCTGCACACACACACACACACACACACACACACACACACACACACACACACACACACACACACACCACACACACACACACACACACACACACACACACACACACACACACACACACACACACACACACACACACACATATTTGCAAACATGCCTCACTCACATAGTCACATTTTGAGACTTTCAGACATAGATTCTCTTACTTTGCTCTTGATATGATCCTTACACCTAACACATACATGCTTTAAGTCTTCTACTTTTCATGTATCATGTAATTTGCTCTTATCTTGCTTTTTTTGGTGTAAGGCCTCTATTGGCACTCATCATCACTGGACATATTGTTTGTTTTTCCTTATATGTATTTTATAGTATAAATATCTGAAGTTTATTTTGTATTGGAGAAGTAAGTATCACATAACATTTACATATGATATGGAACTTTCCGAATATTGAAGTGGATTTGCTGTTACATTAATCATTATAACATAATTATAATAGAACCCGGGAGTACATATATTTTATTTTTTACTCATTGTAGTCGGTATTTCAATATTGTTATGTTTATTATCAGTTTTATATCTTTCCTTTTTCTCTCTATTTTGTGTTTCAATAGAGTTCCAAAGAAAGCAAAAACAGAAAAGCCTCCACCTGCTCCAAGGCAACGAGGCCGTCCCAAGAAATCTAGCAGTGTGAGACAGAATTTGCAAACAGCCAATACGACGAGTGGAAACAGCTCCAAAAATGAGGATTCAAGTCTAGAGATCTTGGATGAGGCTGATGAGTTTGAGGCTGAAGCGAAACCCAAAGACATAAACTTGGAAAAAGACACTGAGGCACAGCAGCTTGGAGAAGATGAGGAGTTCCTGGAATTAGAGCAGTCAGTGTGCTCTGAATCTGAAAAGCTGTGTCCATCTTGTAAACATATTGTTCCTTCTGCCCTCATAGGTGATCACATAAAAGAATGCATGCAAAAATTCAAACTAGTAAGAAGAAGGTCTGAGAGAAATTCAGCGTCTACAAAATCTAAAGCTAAAGAGGAAGATATTGAAGATGATGAAGTTCTTCCATGTCCAGGTTTTTCAAAGGTAATATGATCTGCATGTTATATTTTGATGGGACAGCTTGACATGGTGGTGGGTCATTTCTCTCAAATGGTAAAGTTAGCCTTTATTATTTTATAGATAAGTATATATACATCTTTTAGCATTGCCATTTGTATTGTTATAACTGTGACTGAAAAGTTGACAGTGGATAAGTGTAGATTGCAAAATGTTAAAAGCACAATACATCTATAGTGTGAACCCCAAGATCCGGATGATGTAACCATCACATTATTTTAAAAATGGGCTTAAGGGGTGGGTAATGTGAACATGCTGTTGCCACGGGTGCACAAAGCTCTTAGGCATTTAGGAAGGAGCTTTATTATTTGAGCATTATTTTGATTGATAAACTAGTGTGGAATGTAAAGAAAATAGGTTGCTGTGAACCTTATCATTTGGAATCTGAAATTACAGCATACTGTGACAGTTGTATCAAATTAGAATAAGAATGATAGATGATCTGGAACATATGTATAGTTATGATATGTTATTCTTCAAGTGTGCATGCACATTGATTATGGAACCACAAAACCAGTGCCCAGTTTTGGAAGTGAATGAATCACACAGTATCATAAATTGCAATTATATGCTGTCAGTTTTTGCAATTTGTTTGTGTCTCCCTGCTCTCTTCTCTCTCCTCTACTGCCCTCTTTCCTCTCCTCTCCCCTCTCTCTATATTGTTCTTGTTCCCTTTCTTCTATTCTTTCTCTTTGTTTTAAGATTGCTTAAACTTAGCAAAGTTATGGTAATGTCTCACACTAGAAACAAAAGCTGGCACCTTCACTTGACTTTTTATCATAAGTCAATTATTTTCAGTTTACTTAACCCTCATGTAAATTGGTACTAACCAGTATATAGATATTGATATCCTACCTCAACTTTGTCATTCATTGTGCACCGCAGTCCATTGAGAGGATCCTCCAAAACCCACCTGCAAAACCGGAAGTCAGAGAAAAGACAAAAAGTTCTGCAACAACTGAGGAGGTAGGACTTGTTATGGTTGGTAATATTTAATTTGCAAAAATCTGCCTTATTAAAGATGTACATATTTTGTATTTGAGAGACACATTTGGATAGATAGGGTGATAAAATTAAGAACATAAAACATATGTCAATTATGTCAATATCTTTGATGCTCCATTTCAAAGACATGACTCTTTGGTCCAGTAGTGGTAGATATTACCAATATAAGACTGAAAACTAAAACCAAATGATGGTAAATGAGTGAATAGATAAGATAAAAGCTAGGGATTTTGGCTGATGAATGGAAAATGGAGAAATATTGATAGTTTACTGTTTGCACCTCTCCAGACTTATCATTACCAAATAGATTTCATTGTAAGATACACTGAAAAATATGTTAAAGATAATTTTACAATTCTGAAGCCATAAAATAACATTGCTCTTCACAAAAGGTTAACAAATAAGTATTTTAAGATGAATGAAAGTAAGCACATTCAAAATATAATATATATCTATGTACTTGTGCAGTACATTGGTATTTTTTTATAATATTTGATTTCGATTCATAAAATCACACAAAAACTTGCCATTCCAGGCCAAGAATAGACGTGAGGCTATAAAGACTGCTAAAAATGCCAAGAATGATCCTGACCTGGCTATGGCTTTGGCTCTCTCACGCTCAATGGTTGAAGATGAGGCAGAAAAGAGGGCATCTAGGGAAGAAAAACTCTTGGAATTAGGACTGGATGATATTGTTGAGGAAGACAGGAAAGTACAGCCTCTGTTGTTGCCTCTTCAATCTGCTTCTGGTATGGAGTTCTTTTCATTTTTAAGAATTGATATATTAAATCAAGCATTATGTATCTACTGGATATATTTGAAAATATCTGTAAGATTCACAAAACTGTATAAGCTCTTAATACACTCATATTAAAAAGCTTTCAGAAAAGATTTTTATTATGATGGATATGAATATTTTCTGCTGTGGCTTTTTTTTTTTAACAAGAGGTATATTGAGTATGTTATAATGAACATTTCTGTCCATATTCTAAATAATTATGTATATCTATAAGTGTATATGTATTTATTTCAGGAAAAAGTCAGTCATCAAAAGGGCCTGCCAAAGGGAAAGGAAAAAAGCGCAATGCTGTGTGGCGTAATACGGTCCTCCTTAATCGCTCTAAAGAGGAAAGAGAAAATATCATCAGTGAAAAGGTGGCTGCTCTTTTAGCCTCAGAGGACACACAGAGAAATGAGTGGACAGGACCAGGGAACGGCTGCAGGAATGGACCATTGTTGAGGTATAAAGACAAGGTAAGCATTAGATTTACTTGTAAGAAGACCTAGGAGGCAGTGGCAGATCCAGGGAAGGAAACTCCCCTTAGTGCATCCAAAAAAGTACAATATGCAATGAACAGATAGATAGGTGAATGATTTAGGGAATGAAAATGTAGGTCTACTAGAATAGGTAATGAATTGTCAGCTGTGATTTTATGTGAATGTAAAATGTCAAATAGATTGTCAAGAGCTTGTATGATTGTACCTTTTTTCACTAAAGCCATAAGAACCTTGATATTCTACATACTGCTGATGTCATGTCTACACTCACCCAACATCAAACTGCTATAGTTTGCTCAAAATTGCAAAGAAAATGAAATAGAAAATGTAAATATCACTGACTGGGGGACAGCTGGAGGAGCTACCTCGCCCTTTACAACCCCTAATATCAGTGCTTGGGAACACCTGATAACACGTTTCTTCCCTTTTTGGAACATCATAGGTCAAACAACTAAGATTTATTTTACTGCATATATGAGAGAGTGGTAGAAGAGTTTTTACCTATTATCATTATTAATTTTTAAAATTTGAAGGCTATGATTTTTTTTTTTTTTTTTTAGTAAATGTATGTTGATTTTAATATGTAATACAATATGAACAATTTACACAGAACATTTAGACATTAATAGGTTTGATGCTTTACTTTTTAGTATTATTGCATGATTTTCTTTACATTCTTTTCTTGTGATTTAAAAATTGATGTTAGTGTATCAGTATTTCCATTTTCTTTTCTTTCAATAAATCAGCAGAAATACACGCAATGCATATATTTTAGACTCCCAACAATTGGCTATATAAGAAAGGTTTAGTTTAAATTTACGAGGTTTTTAAGCTTGATAGCTACTGCTTGACTGTTTCTTATATCTGGAAATGAGCTCCATTACCATATGAAGGTGGCTAAGAAATGTAATTATTTAATGATGGATTGTATGCCTTTAAGAAAAGTTTCTTATTTAAAAATAATTACCATTATGTGAAGGATACTATTACAAAGTTTGCATTGATTATAAACTATTTTCACAGAGTTGCAGCCTTTGGGAAGCAGCTCATAGTCATGTTGACCAGCCATTGCGTGAATTTTATGTGCCTGATCTGGAACCTTACATAGAACCCAAAAAGGTTGCTGTTGGAGGCTTATTGAGAAGACTCTCACAGATTCCTGGTCGACTGAATTTGACAGCTATGGATGAGGTAAAAGGAGGATTTTGAAGATGAACATGTGAAATTATTGTAATCCCACTACAACTTAAGTTTTTTTCAACTTATTCTGACATGTGTATATCAAGGTTGGAATCCTTTGAAAATGAATAATGCTACTTTTGTCAAAGAATGGAATTTAAAAAGTCTTGCCTCAAATTTTAGCAAGAGATTTAGAACATTTTATTACCTATTTCTATAGCCTCATTTCTTTTTTCTTTTCTTTTTTCCAGAACTCAGATTCAGACAGTGATGAAGAGGGAGGCAGAAGCTATGCAGTGGACCGAGACAGTACGCAATCTGTCCTGGCGGAACTCCTTGGATCCCAAGATTGTCTAGATATAACACGGGCACATAATGCAATTGAGGCTGAAGATTTATCAAAGTTTCAGGAGTTTGAAGATGCTGCAGCAGACCCAAATGTTACTATGGAAGCTGCTAGTGGGTTCTGGGTGTTCAGGCTACCAGGGGAAAGTTCTGAAGATAATGTAGAAGGAGACAAAGAAACCATTGAAGAAAAGGATGAGAGAAATAAGAGAGACTCCAGTGATGCAATATTAGTGACTGGTAGTGCATGTGACAGTGACGAGAGCCACATTGATAAGGGCGTCAGTGACGGTGTTAAAGATGACCAAGCAGATGAGGATAATTCTTTATCATCAGAAACTAAAACTGAGGAAATGGAAGTGGATAATATGCAGAAAAGTAAGACTGTGGCTTTTAGTACTATTGATTTAGTTGATAGTGCATCTATGGAATTTTGTGTAGTTGATGATAAAATGGTGATGAATTCTTTGGAAAAAAGTGATAAAGACAAGCTTGTAAACACATTTTGTGATTTAGAGGATGATACCTCTTGTGATACTTCAGAAAATACACTGCTTGAGGATGTGAGATCTGAAAAAGAGGTTAGTAAACAGGTACCGACAAACTGTGATGATGTAGAACCCACTGAAAGTGATGGAAGTGAGGATTGTGAAATTTCTATTATTTTAGATACTAGCTCTGGAAGGGCTGAGTGCAATACGGATAAGTTACACGAATCTCATCATGAGGTTGAGGTTAGTAGCGTTAGTCCTAAATCTAAAGACTCTTCAAGTAAAGAACAAGAAGTGAATGATTTGGAGCCAGCTAAAGATTTCTTTGACAATGATTCAAACTCTAGCATGAACTCTGCTGAGACACAGATATTTACTGAAAACCAAGACTCTAGCTTTAATGCAAGTTTCAGGCAGCGTCTACACACAGAGGAGACTATCCTTTACTCAGATTCCACTGACCTTTCTTTAGTAACAAGTAGTTATGGAGACTGCCAAAAGAGAAAACAGGAATCAGAACATTTGAACAGGGATGAGGAAGGGAGAGTGGCTGATAGTTACAAGACCAGAGACGAAGTAGGAACCTCAACGGAAACCAGAATTTCCTCAGATTTACAAGCCAGGGGAAGCAACATCAGACAAGGCAAAGATGGAAAGGGAGAACAGGAGTGCAAAGAAAAGTATTCAGACAAATCAGAACCTAGATCTCCAGACCCCCTGCATGCTAAACTTATTTATGACTGGGCTTCATTGTTAGCCAGTGGTGAGGGAGCTGATTTCACTATAACCACGTCAGAAGGCAGTGATCTCCAGGTGCACTCCTTTGTTATGCTTGTAAGGTGTCCAAAACTGTATCAGGAAGTTCGGAGTGCAGGGAAAAAGGTCACTTGGACGGATATTTGTTTTGAAGGAGCATATGTCTTTCTCTCATATATTTATACTGGAACCTGCAAAATTAAGGCAAAGGATGACTCGTTATGGATGGATGTTTTTGATCTTGCCCTAAAATATGAGTGTGATGATCTTGTTACATATTTAGAATCTTTGTATAAAGCTCATCCATCTCCAGTTAAAGTAGCAACAGCGGTAAATTCAAAAGATAGCATGGTTAATACAGATGTAGGCATAATGCTGACACCTAAGATGGCTAATTCTCAAGAGGAAGGAATTATTAAAAAAAGATTCAGAAGGTGCATAGATCTCTCGCCAGGGAAAAGCATATCAGTTTCCAGTGATAAAGGAAATGATGATCTAACAACAGAGCCTGTGCTGCAACCCAGTGACTCCTCAGAGTTGATGGTAATGAGTAGTAATCCAGAAAAGGATGATGGAAAAGGCAGCTCTCAGTCCCCAGATCTCTTTAATGAATCTTGTGTAAATGAAAATACAACTCATAAAACTTTTCCATCTGTTTCAATACCAATGCTCAGTGAACTTCATCATTCTCCATGGGATAAAGCTTTACAGGATGTCCACGAAGAGCCAAGTTTGAGTCTCAGTACAGAGTCAAAAACTTCAAAACCTGTTTCCTATGCTAAATCAGATTACTTCAAGAGCAATAAGCAAGACATATCATCTTCAGCTTCTCCAGATTTTAGTAAAATGAAACCGGTGACTGATGCAGGGAATTTAAGAGAACAAAGTGAGGGCCAAAATTTGAGAGGAAATGAAGAAGTCGAAGACATGGATGTAAATGACTCCCAAGAAGATGAAGAGACTGATATAATTGATCTGACAGTATGCAGTTCAGGAAGTTCTCGGTCAGTTGGTACCAAGGCTGATACTCTGATTACACCAGGTGTTCATGTTGATGCTCCCACAGATTCAGAATCAGAATATATGGAGCCATTAATGCTGGCTGATGGAACGGATACAAATTCAGAAGAAAATGAAAACTGTCCTGAAGAGCCATGTATGGCTGCAGTAAATATCATGCAAGCAACACCAAATAAGAGCCTTGACACAGATTATAATAAACAAGAAGAGAGCAAGAATAGATCTTACATCAGTAATGTATGGGATGACTTTGATGATATGGGATGTGAGTTATTGCCCATTGAGGTTTCTCCTACAACCCCAGTTAAAGCAGTGGTTGCTCCAGCTGTTAAAGGACATTACCAGGATAAAGAATTTCAGGTATCCTATGATAATGACAGTGTTTCCCCAATTCAGAGTATTTCCCCAACAAAAGTAGCAGATGAAGGTGTAATTCAGAATAGAAAATGGACTCCTGTGAAGCAAACTTCCAAAACAGTTGATTGTGAAGGTACAAAAGACAGACCCATTTTCGATATGGAGAGCAAACTGGGAAGTAGTGCAACTGATGCTGTTGTAGCTTCAGGATCATCTTTCTCTGATGAGACTTTATTGAGAGTAGCAGCAGAGTTTGAGGATAGTAATATATGGAAAGACGACTTTGACTCAATCGATGATGTCTCCGATCCTTTACTTAAGAAAGATGCAGAAAAAAAATTACCAAAATCTAAGAAAGATCTTTTAAAAACGCCAAATGATAAGATTGGTCCGAGTAAAAAGTCGGTAACACCAATGCCAGACTACAAAAACATGCCCTCTCCTGATTTAAAGGTATGTACTGCCATTTAGATTAGAAAGGAGATTAAGTGAACCAGGATTATATGGTAAATGATGTTTAAAGTTTCATACTGTTTACAAAATTTTTTTCTTGTACAATATTAGTTTCATTTATTATTCAATTTTAGATATGCGTATATGCATATCTATGTATAGAGCAGGGAGTGTAATCTTTTATTATAATGTAAGTGTTGATGAATATCTCCATTAATATCTTATTTCTTAACCTGCACTAGCTCCATTTGTCTTACACTTGCTTCATTAGTCTTACTCGTACTACATTTGTTGTTTCGGTTTTAACACACTTACTAATTTCCACAGAAAGAGCTAGAGAAGTATGGAATCCGTCCTATAAGTCGCCGGAAAGCCACAATACTCCTCCAGCATGTTTATGAACAGACCCATCCTCTGGTTACAGATAGCGAGGCAGAGTCTAGTTTTTGTGAAACACCACAGCGGAAACCACCTGAGAGTATGTAAAGTACTTTTCTGAGATTGTTTTCAGTTCACCAAAGTTATAGTGAAATGTGTATCATGGAAGAGGAATGCCGGAGTGTATTTCAGCCATGCTAGGTCTAGTTTTCAAGCATTTTTCTCCTACAACCGTTTCCTTATTGGTGTTGGAAAATATGATCCTTTTATCTCCTATGATTTTCCTCCCCTAAAAACTAGATAGATAAATAGAAATTAAAAATCCTTCACATTTTTATTGATTGCATTTACAATATATACTCAAGATGGCGTTAGATATATTCACACCCACATTTCATATTATGGAAATTGCCAAAACTCGATATCTGTGATTTATGCTTACATCTGCGCATTTATATGATAATAGATGCATTTATGATCAGTCTGGGAAACTTGAGTAATATATGTTTTGATTTTAAGAAAGACTTTTTCAGCAAAAATAAGCAATTTTGTTTGTTTGTTTTGGGAAGCTTTGTTTTGTTATAACAAATAGAAAGAAAGAAAGAAAAAAGTAATAGTTCTATATGCACGTCAGTCTGTGTGGGTGTGAGTGCCGACACATAATTTTATGTAAAGAGAGGATAATTGGCATCATTAATATGCTTGTTATCCTGCAAATTTGACATGAGTCATAGTATGAAGTGCTTTGGTAATATCTGCAGAGGGAATTTATATATACTAGCATTTTTTCTAACCATTATAAATAGCTTTAAAAAATGTACATAATTATACACAATTGGGCATAAGCTTCATCAAATTTAATGTAAATAGTAGGAAATATATGAAGAGTGTTAGTGAGCTTATATTACATTTTACTCAGGTTAGGGATGTATGGCAAATCATGTTTTCCTGTAATGAAAATAAAACTTTAGAAATGTGTTCAGCTGTGACAAGCATTGTGGATTGACATTATTCTTTGAAGTCAATATCAGCCTTGTTTTTAGTCTAGGTAAGCTTTGATTTAGGAATGTAATAGTCTACTCTATTTTACAAGTATAGGGTATTTATCACATAGGTATTTAGAAATATACAGTAATGTGCTATATTAATTTAATTAGCCAAAGTGAGATTTTTGATTAGCAGCTTTGATGTTGTCTTACAGTAATTTTCTTGATTATGCAAATAGTCTTTTGATTTACAGGATATAGAATAGCACCATTTATTGAGTTAAGAGGTTCAGTCAGATTGCTTGATTATATGCATTCTGTTCATGAAATATTTTAGGTTAAGTGAGGTTGGATTATAACAAAGAAAGGAGGAAAGTAGAAAGAAAAGAAAAAGGAGTTAAAAAAGGGGGGGGGAGAGAAAGACAGACAGACAGAGATTAATTAAAAAAATATGTATCACTGTTTTTTCTTCTTAGAAAACAAGAAAAGTGTATCATCACTTCACCAAAAGGTCATGGCAAAGAAGGGAACACTTACAAAGAACAAGAAAGAGAGACCAAATAACAAAAAGGAAGCAAGTTCACAGCCACTGTCAAGTTTGTCTGCAAAACAAGGAAGTTACGAGGAAGGGGACGAAGATTTTGATCAACTAAATTCTTCACAGACATCCAACACAAGGTATGATAAAAAGAAAATCTTATTTTTTTTATAGTATAGTTGTATGACTTTTACAGATTTATTTTATTTATTTATTTCTGTATGCAGAATAGGATTAGTTGACTGCACAGTATACTATTGTAACCTATTCATTTCTCGTTTTCCTGTAGTACTGATGGATCAGAATTTGACTGTGCTGAAGAATCAATGATGGTGGGCATTGGTGACGATGATGATGTATTAACGTCTACTCAGCAAGGTTTGTAACTATATCCTATTGTCATTAGTGTTTTGGCAAAAATGTAAAAGTAGTGATTATAGTTTTTTAATGGAGGAATGTTACAAAGCTGACATCAGGAGAACTGGATTTTGTGGAAAATTGCATAAAAAATAACATTTTAGTTATCTATCTTTCTTTTTTGTCATTGTCTAAATGTACTCTTACCATTTTTTCTAAATATATACACTGTACATAAGGGAAACCAATGATACTAAAGTCTTAGTTACATGGTCTTTTTTTGTACTTGTGTGCATATTATAGAAGAAAGGAATTTTGGGTTTATTTATAATTAATGTTTTGATCTTTGAATTGCAGTTGATATTGGCAGGAAAGTCGCAAAATTCATTAAGTGTGATCCAGAACTGTATATGAAAATACTGTTGTATGAACCCATCTTTGTTGAGGATTTACAAGCATCACTAAAAGCAAATGGGATCAAAACAAATATGAATAATCTTCTTGAAATTCTAGATGAACAGGTAAGGAGCTAAAAGAGAAATTGAATCCCCACCCCCCTTCAAGTTGAATTGTTTATTAGCAATAGGTCTTAGGCTACATCAATTTTATTTGTTGCTTTTTTTATTTTTTTTATTTTATTTTATTTTCTTAGAGAAAATTAGAGTGCCTATGCATAAAAAAAAGGAGAGGGAGAGAAAAAAGGTCTGGTGTGAAGATATAGGCCTTACAGAATGTAAAGAATAGCAGGAGTTTTAAAGTTTTCAGCTGGCACGTTTTATGTAATGAATCCTGTCCATTGATCAATTACTACAATTATGTAGTTCAAAACTATAAGTTTAGTTTAGTTCTAAAGTTTAAAGTGCACGGCGCACACCAGTACACAACAAAACCTTCTAAGGCACAATTGAAGAAATCATTGTTTTTGACTGAATTTACATGTGAATGCCCAAACTTGCACGTTTTATGTAATGAATCCTGTCCATTGATCAATTACTACAATTATGTAGTTCAAAACTATAAGTTTAGTTTAGTTCTAAAGTTTAAAGTGCACGGCGCACACCAGTACACAACAAAACCTTCTAAGGCACCATATTCTTTTGAAAGATAAGATGCTTTCTGACAGGTTGTCCTGTAGCATGTAACTACAAAGCTCCCTGATTGGTTTCTGGCAGCATGTACCTCTGACAGTGGCAATATTTACAAATTTGCCTTAATATTTATTTATTTATTTATTTATTTATTTCAAAGTGCAAAAAATTGAAGCAGAGGATCCAAGAAGCAATAAATGAAATTGGTGTGGCCTTGACATGATATATAACATTTATGACAGATAGTTGGCTTATGAATGATACTGTATTTTTTTTTTTTTGTTCTCAGTGACATAATTTTGCACTTTTTGGGGGGATGGGGCACCTTTTGGTGGCAAGTACAATGTTCTTTTAGATTGCAGTCTTAAACATGATTATTTTGATGAGCTGTACTACATTACCTTGTTTAAAATTTCTAAAATTAAATTTATCAAAGACAGTAATAATAATAAATAATAATAATAATAATAATAATAATAATAATAATAATAATAATAATAATAAAAAAAAAATCTAATAAGTATTTCCGTTGTTGCAGTGCATCACCTTCCGAACTCAGCAAGGACAAAGGAACAGATCAAGGAAAAGAAAATCGCCCAAGAAAAAGACTGCAGCTTCCCCAACCAAGTCACCAAAAAAGAATTCTTAAGTGACTGGTTAATACTGTGCTCAGAGAAAGTTTTTTCTCAGTCAATTGAGAGAGAATTATGCTTGTTTTCATGGTAAAGAATTTTTGTTTTCAGATTACTCAATTAACTATTGTATTAAGAAAACAAAACAGAATAATATTGATCCAGAAGTTTTGAATATGCTCAGGACAGACATTTTTAGTTCAGTTGAATAATATAGTGCTACTGTACACTTATTTTTGTAATGACTTTATACCTAGAATAGAATAGAAATATTGTCTATGGAAGAAAATAATAATGCATTTCTTCAGGTTATTTGCATAGTGCATTAATCTGTAAACATAAAGATTTATTTTTACTTTGGTGTACCTACCCTGTGATAGAGTATGTCATATATTATTGCATACATTTTTGTGTAATTAATATTCTTATTTGTTAATATATTTGATATTTAATTAGTTTTGAAGCAATTTCTTTTCTTGAGTATTTATTTACCCATAATATATTAACTTACTGACACTGGTAATGCATGTATGTATTACCTTAGCCCCTGGAAATTTAGTTACTTTTATTACACAAAGATGGCTCCACAATTGCTGTAACTAAGGAATCAATTACTAGGGTTTCCTGATCTCACCTATTTATCTTGAATAATAATGTCAATATTAATAGCATAATAATGTTATTATAAAGCAAACCTTTTTCTAAAAATGTAACAGGTGAGGTTAAGTAGACCTTGTTATTGACTCATTGGTGATTAAGCACTTGTGAAGCCATCTATATGTAAATAAATCTGAACAAACAAATTTACAGTGATCTGTGATGTCCTTTGCACTAATAGTTCAAGATAGGCAGCTGGTAAAGATCAATTATCATTAAATTTCTATATTTTATTATGCAACCATTATTATTGTACTAGGATTCTCAAAAGAAGGCAATGTCTTTCTTTATGTTCAGGTATTAGGATATTAAGACAAACACAAATAAATTAATGTTTAATGAAGATGTAACATTTTCAATAAATATCAAGAAAGATACTTTTCCTGAAAGAAAGAAAAGAGAGAAAGAGGGGAGAAGTGACTAAAAGTAGTAGTGACTTTTGGCTTACGTCCTACAGGTGGAGCATCAGTAACAGTTATTAGTAGTCCATTGTAACAGTTCTGGAACTGTAATGTTATTTCATATACATGACTTGTATTTTTAAGAGGTAATCAAGGATATGTACATTTGCTATATACAAAAGGCCACAAAAAAATATTTTCCTGGAATCAGGCTTTAAATGTTCAACTATTCACTGAACAGGCTATGGCTAGTCCCATTAGTGTTTCTATAAGAGTATGCACTTTTCTACACAATGGTGTTAACAGTAAACTTTCATTACTGCTGAACAGTCTCATCACAGGGCAAGCCATTTTCTTTCTCACACTTCAGAACACTCAGTATTGTCTGCTTCATAATGGCACACAGTACTATCCACTTGTTTTCTGAATGTCATTAACAGTGAAGCATTGCAGAAGTTTCTATAATACAGAAATTATTTTTTTAACTAAATCTTTATAGACATAGACACTACGGCTTTGTACATTCTTCTCCAACTTGTACTGTATTTGACCTAGGTAGAGGTGCTGTTGCTGTTGTTGCTGGATGTGTTGGTGGTGGTATTAGTAGTGAGTGCACTGCTGGTACTGCTGTTGGTCTCCTCTGGAGTGGTGGCATTGGTAGTGGTTTCCGGTGTTTCTGTTTTTGTTATGGCATCATTTACATTAAGATTCTTCTCTATTACTGAGAACAAGTCAATGAGGTTATCCAAGCCTAGGAGATAGCCATCTTCATGAGTTCCCTCTGACCATGGCTTTCGGTGAGTGATCTCTACATTTTCCGGTAAAGGAATGGTCTTGGCAAAATCAATAAGCTTCACTGAAGCCGAACTTTCATTATGGACAAACAAAAGAGAGCTGCCTATAAGCTGGAAATAGAATGGAAAAAAAAACACTTAGTAAAAGGAAAAATAATGATATCAGATCCCACAAAGTTCTATTATATCACATTTTACAAGAATATTTGGAATGAACAAATAAGACATACATTTAGGTATCTTTGAAAATCATGAAAAAAGAAACCATCTACACTAACCTCATGGGTTTTAAAAAAAGCAGAAGCCTCCAATGTAGCTTTGATAGACTTCAACTGCTGGACATATCGACTCTGAAATATTGCACATTTTCCATTTCAGTACATGCAAATATGTAAAGGAGTAACACATCTTACCAATAACTTTAATGCCTAAGTAAACTGAGGAAAAAGGACATCTTCAAAATACAACAATAAAGATACATATAACAAATCTTTTGAACCAAGTGCCATTTAATGTACATTGTGCATTTTTAAAATGTGATCATTTAGTGTAGTATATGATATTAATGATAAATAGTCCTTTCTTTACTTAAACTCACACAAGAAAAAGTCTCACTGAAATCATCTGTAACTAAATTAAAACGAAACAAAATCTCTTTTCACAAAATATACTTACAGCAGCATGAGGGTATCCCTGAAGGAAACTATTGAGCGAGGCAAGAACCTGCTCTCTTGTGCGTGTAGTTTTGAAGTCTTTACTGGATGTTCCATCTCCTCTTCTCATGCCTTCTATCCTGAATCCCTGGGTAGCTGTAGAAGATATGGTCTCCCGCCATACCATGTACCTGCACATAAAAAATAAGAATTATTGTAAAAAAAAAAAAAAAAAAAAAAAAAAAAAAAATCATTAAAAAATAGTGGGGAAACCACTGAATGGTATATCCAAATAATGTTATTATTATTATTTAATATCAGAAATAAATTCCAAAGTAACGTACCGGGGTTTGGTGACAGCTTTAGCTCTGTTCTCTGCTTCTGTTGGAGCTTTGGGGTCTATCTGTACCATCTTTTCAAACATATCCTGCAAGAACACAATAAACATATAGTATATTGTTTACCAATATATACACATTTGCCTATATCTAGCAATCCATCTCATCTCTCTCTATCACTATATGGAAGTAGGTGTGGTGGTTGGTGGGAAGTTATGTGCGTGTCCGGTCTTTGGTGCTGCGTCATAAATAATGAATCAGGAAATCATGACATCATTACTCGGTTATCAGTCACGTCATGATGAGTTTTATGGCGTCTACTTCCTACCTGAGCAATGTGCGAGTAACTAAGTATTATTTATCATTATTACTTGTTTATTTTTACTTATTGTTTTGTGTATGTGTGTGTGGGGGGAGGGGGGTGCGTGAGTGCGCGTATGTGTATTTGCTTTTCAAGGTCCATCATAAATCAACTCGCTAAGATGTGAATACTGGTCATCCACACCACACTACATAAATAAAATCCCCATGGTCACTTCTAGCTCAATCATGTTTCAAATCACGTTTCCCTAGTGGCTTGATCATTCATATTATTCATCTTGTACATTAATCAAACATCACCCAAAAATCAGTCCTACCTTTCTTAGTTTGGGTTTCTCTCTTGCTTTTGCCAGCTCGTCCTCCAGGTACGTGCGGACACCCATTTTGATGTCCATAACGCAAGGAAGAGTGAAGTCGCTCAGAAGATCTTGCAGCTGGAGGTACCTTTCCCCGTCCGTTCCTTCCACCTAAAGGACAGAAAGAGCTCATTATTTCCATCATTTCCATATTGAAAGGATTGCAAATAAGCTTCAGGCACTTATTAATGTAATATATACTTTCAAAATATCCAATTTCTTATGAGTGAACTTTTTTGTTATTAAATCGGACAGGTTCATTTGCGAAATTGAAAAATAATAACCGCTAATATATAGTCAAATTATCACAGATGTACATTTGTAATTATAAAAAAGGCAAGGCTGGCAAGGCTAAAATACTTTTAACTCTAAGAGACTGATGTTCGTATCCTTGAATAAGCCATTGTACTAAATAATTATCATTGCTCACAAAATATGAGCAATAGGTTCGAACCTAAAATGCAGAACAATGTATTGTTTAATTTCTTATATTCTTTGAAACTACAAACTATCCTGTTAATAAAAAAAACTAATCCTTATCCACAAGCATGACAAGACTAAAAAAAAAAACTTACCACACCCATGTATGTAGGAACGTAGGGTCGTAAAATATCTTTTTTAATAGCTTCCAAAGCTTTCTCTTCTGCTGGGCACAATTTCTTCAGTATAGTCCCTTGCTTATAACCAGCGAGAAAGTTACCTGATGAATAATTTATAAAATTAATTTAAACTCCCATCATCTTAAATCATTTATTTTCATCATAATATCCAATTACGAACTCTAGCGAAAGTGCACAATACTGAATGGTGAATGAGTCCATAACACCTCTGTGTTTATTACTGCTCTACATCTCTAAGGTATAGATATCTAAGAGTTCCACCTCCGTATTCTAAAGTACAAGACAAAGCCAGTCATCAACAGTATAATTATATATTTTATGTAATAAATAAATAAACATACACATATAAAAATAAATAAATATTGATTAAATAAACCAACCTTGATGTCCGGCAAGTTGCACCCATGGATACTTGTGCTTCTTGTATGTCTGGATGAAAGGCGTCCACTGTACTATACTCCGCAACTTGCGCCAGTTGGACGGCTGGAAATAAGAAAATACATTTATAAGGCTAACGTTACAAGTATATGTTTTCAAATGCATTATAAATATTAAAATGTGTGTTTATTAGCATGTACACATAAAAACTTAAAATGCAAGAGTTCTTCAATAATATATATTAAGAAACACATAATTGGCAGTTATCAGAAAGGAATATAAACCATTTTGCTATGCATATCATTCATTAATTAATGTGAGAGAAGAGAGGAGAGGAGAAAGGAGAAGAACAGAGGTCAGGAGAAAAGAGAAGAGAACAAGAAGAGGAAGAAAGAAAGTAAAAGGCAAGAGAAGAAAGAACTGTCAAGTGGACAAGAATGAAGGAGAAACCATCCAATATCCTAAGAATTATATGCGCCTTCATCATCATTTCCACAGCAACGCTACTGGAATGCTTGCTCCATTACGTCCCGTCCAGTATGTCCCGCATTGCAGGACATACATAGGTGTGTCTCCCTCCAAACCTCGCTCTTCTGAACGGTTACAACTTACAGTACAACTTAATCTAACTAGTCCATACGCTGTATTAAGTTCAAATGAATCAAAACAAATGATTACAGTGAAAAAAAAAATCTGAGATTTACATGACTAAGATTAAGGTGTAATAACAAAACATTACGTGCCATTACGTGAGTAATATTATATATTGTATAATATATATATATATATATATGTAATATGTATATGTATATGTATATATATATGTGTGTGTATGTGTATGTGTGTGTGTGTGTGTGTGTGTGTGTGTGTGTGTGTGTGTGTGTGTGTGTGTGTGTGTGTGTGTGTGTGTGTGTGTGTGTGTGTGTGTGTGTGTGTGTGTGTGTGTGTGTGTGTGTGTGTGTGTGTGTATGTGTGTGTGTGTGTGTGTGTGTGTGTGTGTGTGTGTGTGTGTGTGTGTGTGTGTGTGTGTGTGTGTGTGTGTGTGTGTGTGTGTGTTGTGTGTGTGTGTGTGTGTGTGTGTGTGTGTGTGTGTGTGTGTGTGTGTGTGTGTGTGTGTGTTGTGTGTGTGTGTGTGTGTGTGTGTGTGTGTGTGTGTGTGTGTGTGTGTGTGTGTGTGTGTGTGTGTGTGTGTGTGTGTGTGGTGTGTGTGTGTGTGTGTGTGTGTGTGTGTGTGTGTGTGTGTGTGTGTGTGTGTGTGTGTGTGTGTGTGTGTGTGTGTGTGTGTGTGTATGTGTGTGTGTGTGTGTGTGTGTGTGTGTGTGTGTGTGTGTGTGTGTGTGTGTGTGTGTGTGTGTGTGTGTGTGTGTGTGTGTGTGTGTGTGTGTGTGTGTGTGTGTGTGTGTGTGTGTGTGTGTGTGTGTGTGTGTGTGTGTGTGTGTGTGTGTGCGTGCGTGTGTGTGTGTGTGTGTGTGTGTGTGTGTGTGTGTGTGTGTGTGTGTGTGTGTGTGTGTGTGTGTGTGTGTGTGTGTGTGTGTGTGTGTGTGTGTGTGTGTGTGTGTGTGTGTGTGTGTGTGTGTGTGTGTGTGTGTGTGTGTGTGTGTGCGAATTTCCTGTGGACTAGACCCAACAAAACGATCACTCTGGCCCACGTCCCCCGTGGCGCAGATCCCGCAGGCGGCGACGAGGAGCGCCACGAGAGGCGGCCACAAACAACACGCAAGCACACCTTGGTTTCCCTGACCGGTATTTCGTACGCCTCGTCCGCGGAGAGGTCGTCGTGAATGGACGTGTCGTACTCCGTGGGGTGCAGCAGCAGGATCCGCTTGGTGTACGAATCGTATCCTGGCGAAAGGTTGAGCGGCCCCGTCACCAGGCTGTTGATGTTGACCAGGGCTTCGTGCAGCGGCGGCGGCGGCCCCCCGACGGTGCTCACGCGAATGGGGATGGCCAGGGGGCGGGAGGGGGTCGCCGCGCCCTCGGAACAGCCCTGCATGGTGCCCGGTTGGTCAGACATGGAGACGGCTGTGGTCCGGTAAGAGCCAGGTGCGCAAGCAAACTGAATAAATTCTCAATGTGCGTTTCAAGTTCACTCGCACACTGCACAACTATTTAGTTATCTTCCCGGCCGTTATCTTATCAATACCATGGCTTTAAAAGCGACGGGGCTTACTGTACTGTCATTCTTCACTCATGCACTATCTTCATGAATGGCGTGTCTCGATTTTCTTTTTTTTTTTCGTTCACACACTTTCCAGTTTTTTTTTTTTATGATTTACAATTAATCATATTACTGATCTCGATTATCTGAAAGTAAGAATACTATGAACAAACGTGTTTTATTTCCAGGTATCTGTAATACCGCAACGGTTTGCATCAGAAGGGATTTCATGACGTCACGCAATCCAATCTTACACAATTTTCGAACACGACATGTCATTTGTAATCAGCTGACACATAAGAGGCATCTTTGCGACATCCGGTTTTTATAAAATAATCAAATCTATGATCACGATGGCGACGATGTTGGTAGTGATGATAATGGTGATAATAACAACAAAAACAGCAACAGCAATGGTATATAGTAATGATATCCATAGCAACAGCAATAATAAAAGAACACTAACATATAGAACTACGTGGCTCTACCCATAAGATGCGCATGCACACAACCCCTGGCTTCACATCCTCCCAAAGAACGGCGCAGTGTTAAAAAGCCGCGCAGGTTATCACCGAACCCGAGACGCGACCCCGGCCATGTGTGGAGACCCCTCTGTGGAGACTCACGCCACTCGAGAGCCCCGACAAAGACGACGCTGACCACAGTCTACGACCTAAATACGACCACGACCTTCAAACCACCTCGCGTAATTAGATCAGCGCTGCATACCTGATCAGACGGTCTCGGTATTAACGTCCATGGCACAAAATTACATGAAATATGCATCGTTTGAACTTTAACATTTCGTCTGGCCGTTCGCAGACATGGCAACACTCATGGGAAATTTGAGATTTAGGCCTACATAAAAAATAAAAAATACTGGGTGTCCACTAGACAAGTATATTACAAGAGATGTTATTAATGAAGGGTTCTTACTTATACTTAAGACTGCTGTACAAGAACACAGCCATCTCCTGCTAACCGAAATGTTGGATATAAGTAACAATCAAGGGAGGTGGGGGAGGGTTGATCCCAGCTGTAATATCACACCGAACGTCGTTCAGATAAACAAATAAAAATAGGGGAGAGAGGTAGGGAGCAGGAGAAAGGGAGAGGGAGAGGGAGAGGGAGAGGGAGGGAAGGAGAGAGGGAGAGAGAGAATTATTCACTTTCATTTTCATCTTCCCAATCTTATCTTCCAGTATCAAAATACGTAAAACTCGACCGTATCGCCCGCCCCCTAAAATCAGGACAATAATAAGTCTCATGTGGAGCATACACTAAGTCCCACGTCAACACCATTGTTTATTCCGTGGCGTCTTGTGAACTCACAGCACGGTTCCCATAGAACAGTTGGATAAGAAACAAAGTATAGCACATAATTTTCATATTAAGCACACTGGTAATTTCTACATCTGGTTCACACAACACTCGTGAGTCTGGTCATTTTGAACCAGCGAGAGAAACTAAGAGTTAAAAGACGAAAGTGTAGATGTACTTCGCCCATTTCTCTCGGGTACACCACAGGCGCGACGATACGTACTCTGCAAAACGAACTCCCTCGCATTGAACGGATCGTGCAGGTCGGCCACGGGAGTGCAACGGCGGCGGCCATGGGGGCGAGGTCAGCACCGAGTCAGCGCGTGCTCCCAGCGCGGACGACGAAGGGTGACTGAGTGCCCTCGGTCCGAGCTTCCCCTCATTCATTGCCTACGATGTTAGGTCACCCCGAGCGGCCATTTCCGCGGGAGGTTTACGCTATCAGCAGCAAGCCCGGACTGACGTCATGAGAGTGACGTCACGACATCCTAAAGGAAGTGTGCCTGTTCTTTCAGTTCCTCTCTTGCGCACAGACGACAGGCCGAACTGGCCGCTGGCACTCGTCGCTCACGTCACGCCCAGCTGTCAACTGTCACCGGATGCGATGGCGATAGGCGTGGGGAGTGCAGCCCAGGAGCATCTGTGTGTTTGATTGCGTTTATCGGAGGGCGAGAAAGGACGCGCGTCTGGGAGACCGTTGGCCGCTTTCCGCCTCCCTGCCCGAAGAACGTCAAAGGTGGGCGTGACCAAACGCTGCAGCGCCGCCAAGAGAAACAATCAACCGGAAAAGTTTATCGGTGTCGCAGACTTACAGCCCTCTCCTCACTTTATAATTTTCTCTATACCTTCCCTTATCAATAACATTTAGCCTTTCCACACGCAAGCAATTCAGCCCTCACTAACAACCATGGCCTGCCCCCTCGTGCATTCATCCTGTTCACACAAACACCTTCCTCTCTGGCCTTCCCAGAAGCTCCCTGCTGTCAACATGACCAGTAACTTCGGGGTACAGAGTATATCACATCCTCCCAAAGTGCTTACATAATGGCCCGCCTAACACTATAGTTTACAGTGGGTAGCTGTTGTCAGGAACCGTTGGCAAATGTGAAAGAAAAAAAAGAAAGACAAAAAGGAAAAAGACACGCGCTTTAAAGTTCATGTTCAACTCAAAGCATCCCCATTAAACGGTGCAAATGACGTTGCGGTGAAAGTTGTTTGGTGGGAGCGCGCGCTGCGGATCGGGCAGGCAGCCACCGTCGCCCGGGGAAATCGTCAGCCGATCATCAAATCCTCGTCCAGATTCCGGGAATAAATCCGCCTTATCAAACGACCGATTACCGATAACTTACATGACAGAAATAGAAAGTCCATTCCCAGTGAATCCCTGGTTCAGCAAGTAGACTCTATTTGCAATTACAATACACGTCTCAAATGAGTATGTTTAACAATTACATATACCTTATTTGACCACAATTCTCCCGACTCTATTACATTTTCTTTAAAATCTTAAAAATAACTAAATAAATACATACAATGAATTACCGTTCCTGTCGTCCATAGCTTATACCTAACTAAGCCAGGGCTAGGTTGGTAACCCTGGTTGATCCAATCGTTGCCAACATGAGGA